ACTAGCTACCGTGCAGAAAAAGGTGCCTCTATGCCAGCCAATTCCAGTACAGACCCTCACGTGACATATTGGTAGAGAGGGAGAGAATTGGAGGAATTCCTTAAGCACAAGACATGTGAGAGCAGTACCATGCACACAAATTGGTGTAATCGGGAGAGCAACCTATTGCAGGACAGAAAGAAAGATGGATTGTGGCCCAAAATCCACCTTCTGCCCCAAAATCCACCTTCTGCCCATGCCACTGCCTCTCCTGCCCACCCCTGCTTCCCCATCAAACTCGAGCACCAGCTGAGAGTACACCTGGTGTGGGAGCAGCCACAGCCCCGGGGCCCCGGAATGGGCAGGGTGGCCCGTGGGCAGCCCCAGCCCTGGCCTCACTGCCCTCCACTGCTGGCTCTCACCTGCCGGCCCTGCTGGCTTGGCCACTTCCTGGGGAAGTGCCGAAGCTTCTGGCCAAACCCAAAAGGCGAGACCTAGCTCTTCTCAGTGTTGCCTGCTGACAGAAAAGGTTGCAGTTGCATCTCCCCAGTCGATGGAAATTCCTGAAGGGAGAGTGCAAAGAAGACAGGACAGGTTCATCTCAGCGGGGCCCAGTGATGGAAAAAGAGGCAAGGCACAAAGCTGAAGGACAGAAGACTCCAGCTGACCATTAGAAAAACCTTGTCACTGTTGGAGCTACCAAGGACTGACAAACATTGTCCAGAGAGGCTGGAGATTCTCCATGCTTGGAGACATTCAAAGTTGACTGGACATGGGCCTTGAACACTGGCTCCAGGTGGCCCTGCTTGAGAAGCATGGTGTGGCCTAATGACCCCTGGAGGTACATTCCAGCCTCAGTTGTTCTGTCAATCTGTGAGCACAGCGGAAGGATCATTGCCTCAACTTTTGCAACACGTGAAAATCATGACAGGGTGTGTTTCTGTGGGGAAACTCCTCCTCTGACCCTGTCTCATCAGCAAGGATGAGCAATCACACCATGCACAGGGTGCCACATATGGGCAGAGCAGCTCCGGCTCACTTCTCCCCAGCTCTTCTCTGCTCACGCATCTGCTCAGGGTGCTGATGTTCATCAGGCAGCCCCAAGTGTGTCTCACTGTGCTCCCTGCAGGGTGCAGTAATAGAGCGCACTGTCCCCCAGCTCCAGCCCACTCATCATCAGGGTCCCAAAGCTCCTGTCAGCCCGCCAGGAAAACCTCTTCTGCGCAACAGGGGCTGTGTGGCTGTAGGAGCCTCCCTGGCCCTTGCTCTGCAACAAGTACTGCAGGGGTCCACCAGGACGCTGCCAATACCAGGCCACGTAAAGATAGGAGGCATTGGAACTGTACATGCATCACAAGATCCCGGTATTCCCTGCTCGCCACCACACTGCAGTCCTCATCGCATGGACCTCATCACCCTGAAATGCACCTGAAACAGAAGCAGAGCTGTTACACCACTGCTTTGCTCTCTCTGGCACAAGGAAATGGCCCATAAGACATTGCTGTCCCCGAAGACCAGGCTTTCTTTTCATGTCACAGGGAAGAAGGGGACGATGGGAAGGCAGAGAGGGGCTGCGGGCAGGCAGAGTGGCCTGGATGGTGGGGTGACAGAAACACAGGGAACCACCTCCACAGAATAAAACACTGCATTTGGGACTCAGGAAATTGAAACTAGCAGTGCCGGGAAAGGAGATCTTGCAGAAAGGCCAGGACTATCTGCAGTGCACTGTGATGGCCCCTCTCTCCTTGGGAACAGTCCTGTGAAATGTGTTCACCTGATTCGTGTCAATATGGACTAATGCTAGGGCCGCATGGTGAAATGTGAATTTCTGTCTTATATACCCTTATATAACAGCAGGCCTAAGAGAAATAGAGTGATTAATGTATATAGTTTTAGCTTTTTGTAAAAGATATACTTGTGTGTTAGTTTGGACTGTTTTTGCTGTTAACCATATGATGTCAAGCCATAAAAATCTAGACTCATCCTAAGGGTGAGCGGAGGAAGGCCATGAGCATATGTGGAATCTGGGGTAATCCTGAAGGCAGCCGAGAAAGACCACCAGATGGGAGCCAAGAAGACGCCGAGAACATGTGCAGAAAGAGATAAGCCTACTCCTGGAATTTATTCGGATAGACCCACCTTTTCTATGAATGTGTATTAGCAGAAAGGATATAAACCAGAAACAGGAACTGCATGGTGTGCGTCTTGGTAGAGCAGAGGCTCCCGACGCACCCAGCACTGTTTGCTTGCATTTATTCATTTAATAAATTGTAAACTTAAATTGCAACCCGATTTGGGACTAAGTCATTTATCACAAGTCCTGGGCCACCTCAGCACTTGCCAGCTCCAAACCTCATGCACCCTGCGCAGGGATCAGCAGGTTTTTGTTAAACATCAGTGGGATTTCCTGTCTCCGTGACAACAGCACAGAAGTAGCGGGCAGAGTCCCGGGGGTGAAGGGCACGCAGGGACAGAGAAGATTCAGACCGGGAATTGTCCCGGGACACAGTGGCGCGACCCTCCACTGACTGCCCGAATCGAATGATTGAGGAATCAAAGTTGATGTAGGACACCCACTCGAGTCTGCCACCGGGTGCCTGACGGTACCACCGAATTTCATAAAAGCCGAAGTCGAAGCCGGATCCGCGGCAGGAGAGGAGCACGGAGTCCCCGGGCGCTCGCAGCCCCCCGCCGGCCTCCG